ATATATATCTATTTTTTAAAACTTTCGGTCTTATCTGTATTCTGTAAATATTAGTCAATTCAACTAATTCTATTAAAATAGTAGAATCTCCCTTTATTTGAAAATCATTTAAATATCGATTATTAACGATGCACAACGGTGATTTAAAATAAAAATTTGTTATATATGTTACCGACAAAGTTTGAAATCTGGCATTGTATATAATTCCCGGCGTGTTTAGGCAATGTATGAAATATGAGAATTATAGGTATTGTATAGAATGCTGGCTTTTCATACATCGACAGTAATATATATAGATAAACAAATTATTCGTTCCAGAATTAGCTGATAGGATCAATAAAATAAACGGATGTATAAAATGTATACATTTATTTATCTGACAAAAAAGTTTTTAATAAATAATTCGAAAAAATACTTATATTGCGTATTACTGCATTGCTACTGTGTAATTAAAAAATTATTTCTCTTAAAATATTTTTTCAAATACTTGATAAAATTCGCGAATGTTTTATTTATACTATAAAGTAAAGAGAAATTTGCGTTAATTGTTAAATAAAATATTCCACGCAAAAAAAAATAAAATACTATTCAATTTAAATAGGTGTTCGAATATTTCCGTAATTCACTGTTTATCCTCCTGACGTTGAATACCAATAACGTTGGATTTATTTACGTTTCGACGAGAAATTTAACCTCGAGGGAAGGAAATGTCGGAACGTGACTCGAGCTATTAACCCCTAAAAGTATACGACGAAAAAGAAAAAGAAACAAAAGAAAAAAAGAAAAAGTAAAAATAACAATAAAAAAGAAAAAATAAGAAAAATGGAGGCATAAGGGGAAATAGTTCGTTATCCTGTCGAGTAGCCCAATTAATCGTCAGGGTCGAAAAGAGAACTAGCCAAAACGAAGCGAGAAGAGTAAAGAATGTTTCTCGAGTATTTGCGCTTGAAGCGTACCTTTACACATTTATGTATATATATATATAGATACAAATATATATCGTGTCCGCCAGTTTGAAGAAGAATCTTTAGCATTCGGTGAAAGATTCTTGTCAAATAAAAGACTTTTTAAAGAGAACAACTAGTCCGGAAATCTCATTCAACGAGACAAGATTTCAAAATTGTACGGTCATCTTTCTAAAGCTTCATAGAATTTATTTCGACGAATGTTACTTCAGGAACTGCGTTCCATCTGTCATACTTTATTTCTTTCTTCTTTATTTTATTTCGTTATAGTTATTCTTCAAAGTAAGTATAATATCATGCGCGCAATGCACTTTAACTTATCTCTTTATTTCTGTCTTTATTTTCAGATCGCTTAGTAAGCTTATAAATCATCTCAATGGATTCGTACTTAATCTTTTTATTTTAATGTGAAATAATTTAAATTTAATATTTTATAAAATTATTATATAAAAAGTATGTGTACTTTAACTTATTTCTTTATTTTCATAATCGCTTAGTAAGCTTATAATTCATCGGTGGCTTTCTCTACTCATATATTTTGTGTATTTAATTTTGTATTTAATGAAATAATTTAAATTTAACCTAAATAATGTTATCTATATATTTATAGTAACATTTTTTTAATATAAAAAATCTCATAAACGAAGATAAACAAAGATAACAAATCCAGTAATATGTGCTCGATCCTTAATTGTATATTTTTGTAAGCTTTATACTATTATTTAAGGTGCATACAGTAGTCCCTTAATAATATTTATTCACTTAAGCATAACCAAGTTGAAAGCGTACTTCCTTAACATCTTTACACTCGCTCGTCGGAACGTGCTACTTCTTACAATGCTATTTTAATATTACTCTATCTTTTCCACGTAACTGAAAATACAAAAGCATCGCAATTAAATTGCAACCTACTTGAAATATTTTACGCTGCAACCTATTTAACAATGTCTTTCAACTATTCTTCGCTTTTTTCATTTCAATTTTCAAAAATATGATTACAGTAGACACCTTTATAACGCGATTAATATGTTGTACATTGTTTGAATCAACATTAAAGAAAATTACGTTATATGCAAATTTTCCTCATATAACATAAATTTTTTTGTTCTTTTTTCTAATGAAACCTTAAAATTAGTTCGTGATAAAATAGATACGTTATAGAATGAATAACTCGGTTTTTATATTTTTTTAGTTGATTTAATTAATGAATAAATTTATTTTCCATAACAAAAATCGTTATATTTTTATCTCAAAGCAGTCTCTGCCATTACGAAAAACTAATTTTATAAAAACACGAATATTCCTCTCTCTCTCTTTTTCTCTTTCTCTCTCATCTCATCTCATCTCATTGCATTGTTTCGAACTTTTTACTGGTTTTCAGTTAACCAAAATTAATAAAACATTTGTTCGTCTTCTTTTTTTTCTTTTTCTTTTCTTTTTTTTTCTTTCTGTTTCTCTAATTTCAATGTTTTCAAAAGAATAATTTTCAATCGCTCAAACGACAGATCCACTGCATCTACCAATCTACAAGGCGTCTACATTACGAAAAATGAACGTAATACATCGCGAGACGTGCTCGTGAACGTCCATTCCCGGTGAGAAGATCGCATTACGAGGAACAAGGGAGAAGGGATGAAAAGGGACGGATAGAAGGAAAAAGGTCTATGGAAAAAAGAGAGAAGTTTAAAAGGGCAAGAGAATTGCATGCACACCGGCGGTTAACTTAAAAAGTCTATGATGTATGATAGCTCATAGCGATATCATAAACAAAACGGGGCTCGGCTCGGCTAGATAACGTTGCTTTATTTTTTTTTTTTTCTATTACTTCTATAATATTCCATTCTCTTATTAGTTAATATTCATTATTCCGTGTCGGATCGATTTGTCATTCTATCTCATTTATCTCGCAAAGATATTTATCAAAAAAGTATACATATATAAATATATGTGTGTCGTTGTAGAAAATTTGTAAATTCGAAAGAGAAATATCATTTTTCATCATCAAAGAAGAAGAAAAAGAAAATAGAAAAATGTTTAATCCCAGGCAATATTTTGTCCTGTTATTCGCGAAAAAAAAACGATTTAAGAAAGATAAGTTGGCATGGAAAATCACAAATGTCACGGAATAATTTAAAAAACGTCTAACGTATTTGCACAACCAATAAACGGTTAAATTATACATTGTTAAATGTTGGATGGTTAGAGACAGGTGGTGGTCTATTTTTGAAGGTGCTTCTACTTTCGTACGAAGAATGCTTTTGAATAAAACATGCTCACCGACAGGCATGTCCTTGAAGTATACCCCTATCCTTCCATCTTTCTTTATTTTTCTCTGTCCTTATTTCACAGTATTTTCAACGCCTTTTCCTTTCTCGCATACCCCCCCCCACCCCTCCCACACCATACCCCGTTGACTTATTTTTTATTCTTTATGTCTCTTCTATTTTTTTTCTCTTGTCCAACCAGCCGTATTCTTTTTACTTTATTTCTTCATTGTTTTCTATGATATAAGAGGAAACTTTGAAAATTATTTTGTAATTGATTTGACGTAGACGTCAATATCGATACGCTAGATTAATCCCGGTAATATTGATAGTATGAAGTATTTACAGATTATTGATCGATTAATAAGCAAGAAATTCATTAATTTTCAAGTTTATCTTAGAAGTAACTTTCTTACTTCCTTTATTAATGTTATTAAATAAGTTTACGCGCATAGTGTATGCGTATAACAGTAATACCTATCATTTCAGATCTACAAAGTTTTCTCATCAATAAATATAATATCTATTAGTAATATAAAAGTTATAACATGTTATTTATATTAAGATATGTTATTTTATAAATTAATAATATTTTATCATCATGAGCTAATTTTAATCGAGATTTTAATTTCATCCGTTATAATTAAATAATCGACATAGTTTTCACCGATTTTTATAATAAATTCAAATATATATTTTTATATTATTTCTAATAAACTTTCAATATATTATGTAAACCGTTTTGTGTTCTGGACAACCTTTTGCCATTTTTCTGATAAAATCTCTATTGTCATAATGTACAACTTCTATGGGATATTTTGTGAAAAAACTACGATAAGTGATTTTCAACAGACCCCTTATTAAAATCAACTTTACACAATTAAAAGAGTTTTATAAAAATAGAAACAAATAAAATAATCTAATGATGCAAAATCAGGACTATATGGTGGATGCATCAAAACTTCCAAACCAATCTTTCTCAATTTTTCACCACTTTCTTAATTTTTAACTTTTGACTGAAATAATAACTAACATCACTTTTGTTTTTTTTAAATTAATCTATAAAATGACAAGCGAGTATATATATATGATAGGATTTAATTAATATTATCCAAATTATGCAATTTTAAGGTCATCTAATGAGAAAATCGGTAGAAATCTTGTCAACCATCTAATATATTCTTATTTCTCATGATAATATGCAAATCCGTGGTTCGATGCAACGTAAAAAATATTTTTTTCCTTCCTTCAGCAATGTTTTTTTTTTTAGGATACCTATCTATTTTCTCTCTCCCTCTCTCTCTCTCTCTCTCTCTCTCTCTCTCTCTCTCTCTCTCTCTCTGTTTACGGGCCGCAGACTCTCTTAAATTAAATTTGGTGACCCGTGTTCAAATACGAATTCGGCACCACTGACGTAGAAGATATATCGATCTCGGTTCTAATATAAAACAATGGTATTGTGGGTAAAGGAAAAACAATATCGAATATTCGAAAAAAAATGATTGTAGGATAAACGTGCCTAACGTGTGTCGATCACACGCGTAATTAATAGTTGTGTAATATATTTAAAAGTAAAGTTATCCAACGTTTACCAAGTTCCTTCTTTCCTATGTAGGATATCCGACTTTGGTAAAAACTTTCTTTTTAATAGTCGACAACGCGACTACGACAACGACAACGACAACGAAAACGACGACGTTTTGCTTTTATTTATGAGATTCCTATCGATCTAATCCCGTTGATAGATGGTACCATCGTTTTTTTCCTTCAGGTTCTGACAGCAAGGTGTCGGATGTTGATGGACAACCCTACACGACGCTGCTTTACAGCAATGGTCCCGGATACACGCAACCACGAAATATTCTACGTGATGCCGGCAAGGATTCCATACAGGTAAAAAATTATTCGAAAACACAGTTTATTATAATTCTCTTGTTAATTCATAACAGATAATGGAATAAATAAGCAACGGAAAAACAAAACTAAACGAAACGAAACAAAACTAAACTAAACGAAAAATACTAAAAGGTCGAAAAAAAAGAAAGAAGGTCAATTAAAAAATATTCGATAAAATTTTGTTCGTAAACTCGACAATACGTTAAAATGATATAAAATATTGAAAGAACCAACGAGCAATTAAAACAAAGTTAATGGGACGGGGGGGAAATTGGTTAAACTTTTTTTCCCAACTTTTTTGCGTTGCCGCATTTTCGCGTACATTCGTTTTTAAAATTCTAACTCGAGTATGATAATATTTAATCAAATATACGCGACGTAACATCGTAATATTATTAAACATTTCATTGTAAATTATTGAGCTTGATAATTAGCCGACAATTTTTCGATTCAATTTCTTTTTCGTCATTTTTTTGCACGTTTTTTCGTTCTTTTCTTACTCCATTGGTTCCCTTGCCGGCGCCGACAGGCTGTATGCACTTACTTTCAAAGGACTACGACTACGACGAGGGAAGAAAAAGAAGAGAAAACAAAAAAAAAAGAAAAACGAACAAAAAAATAGAAAAAGGTAAAAAGAGCCCAGTCACGACATACGCCAAAAGCGCATTCTCAATGCCGGTACCCATTGTCACCAACGGCCCGTTTTCTCTTCCTTTTTTTTTTCCTTTTTTCTCTTCTTTTTCTTTTTTTTTTTGTACCTCCACGTTACCACGCTCGGTTCTGAAAACGTGAAAATCGAATCACAAAGCGCGATTTCGAATCTACCGGAGGAAAATCGTCTCGTTTGTTTCTAAAAGTAAGAGAGAAAGAAGAGAAGGAAATAAAGGAAAAAGGGGAGTAGTAAGAAAGACAAAAATTGTAGTAACACGCCGTAGAGACTATCAAGTATATTTTATATGTTTCTTTTCTTACGTGAGAAATAAAAATCTACCCCGTCGAGTTGCTGCACATGCAAGTTTTCTTTCCTACGAAAGATTTTTTTTTGTTTTTTAGTTTCTTTCGTATCCTCGTAAAACAAAAAAAGTCTCATTAATATTTTTGTCCTTTTTACCTTTCTTACGTGTTAACGTTAAATACAAATAATTATTTACATTATTTATATTAACAATGGAATAATTGCAAAAAGGATAAAATCAAAAGGATTTCAAAAAGGAGAATGTTTAATATAAAAATGATCAAATAGTATGAATATGTATACTATATATCGTAAATATATATGTAAATATATAAAGAAAAAAACGAAATGAAAGAAAGAGAAAGAGAGAACGAATTGTGTTTCGCTGTTTGAATCGGAAATCCTAAAAAAAAGAAACTTTTGATTCGGTTTATCTCATCGGACGAGTCATAAAGTGAATCGCGAGTAAACGCGTATCGTACGATAGTAAGCAAAAAAATATACGAGAAGGTCGATGAAATTCATAACGAATTCGAAAGAAAAAAAAAAAAGAAAAAAAACAAGAAAAAGAAAACATGATCTATGATTCCATTCACTTTTTATCAGTTACGTTGTGTGTGCTTATATACATACATGTATATAAAGTGACGACGACTCTTCACTTTAAAATTGTGAAGGTGTTGCTGCAGCAACTTTTGAAATATAGTTTATACGTGTTTGGATAAAATATTAAAATTATGATAAAATTTTGTAAAAATATACATGTAAATAATAATGGAACATTCATGACGGACAAGGCCGTATTATGTTAATAACTGGCATGTGACTATGATCTGCATATACCCGCTCGAATAATAATACAACGTTATGGAAATTTTTATCTTTTTTTTATATATATACGAAATATAAGAATTATATAAGATTGTTGATGTTAAATATAAATATTCACAGTAAATTTGAAAAAATTAATAAATATATTTATAATATATAGAAAAAATTGATGATACTGCAGTTCCAATTTCGAAAACACTGAAGAAAAGAAAAAATGATATTATAATAATCATGTGAGTTCTTAGAAATCATTCTAATTCTGATGCAAACCTACTTCGTATTTTTAAATTCAACAGGAATAATTTTAATGTCCGATTAATTCTGTATATAAATTTCTCTCCCTTTTTTTTTTATATGTTCATCTCTTGTATTTTTTTCGCAATATAATAAATAACGGTCAGTAGTAAAAAATGAAAATTCGAAAAGGGAAAGTTACAAGGATATAAAATATTAAAATCCAAAGGAGGACCATTAAAGGTATATATACATAGCATCGATCTGTCTTCAAGTCGGCATTCAGCCAACCAAGCACCAGCAAGCCAACCAGTTGGCTATCGAATCGACCAACTAACAAGCCAGCTTGCCAACCAAATGGCATTCTTTAATATTTAAACTCGACTGAGTTCCTTCTTCAAACGGCAGATTTATATCCATGACTGGTAGAAACTGATTAGGGTAAAATATATTTTAAAAATGCTAATTGATGAATAATATTGTCCATTGCAATAAGATTATTATTGATTTTTTAATCACGTTAATCAGTTTAAATGATATATTCATTTATTTGAAATGTATTAAAGTGCTAGTGACTAATATTATATTTTATTAATAATAATAATAATAATTAATCATTAGACAAATTTTTGTAAATTTATGCAACCTGTGAAAACTTTTAAAGAAATATATTATTATGCCTTAGATATCGCAAAAATCATGATGGGGTATGAAAATAATTAGAAATATCGGAAAATATGTCTCTATAACAGATTGATAATAATTTATGCGAAAATTGAAATTACGCAAGTTAGACAACACTTTGTAATTTCATTGATAATTGTGGTTACTAGCGAAACTTTATTAAATTTCTATATTTATATTACTATTTATTATATATATAAGTTTGTTTAGATTCTTTATCATCTATAAGTAGCTTAGAAAGTTTGTCACTAATAAATAACGCTTCCAACCAAAAGTATGCTACAAAGTATAAAGTAATAACTGTCGTTAAGTGATGCAATATATAATAAAGGTTTAAAATGTTTCCTTAAAAGTTTACACCTGTTGTATAAGTCTAGAAAAATATAATAATGATTTTGAATATTATCAAAAAAATGATAAAAGTCGCCATTACTAACTGGTTAATCTTAAGCACTCTAAAATACATTTAAGATAAATGAAATCTTATAAATTTGTATCATCAAAGTATCTCATTGATAATAATATAGTATTTTAGCAAGTAATACATTGCATAATTTTTGAAAATGATCGACTGTATGTACTTGAAAAACGCGTGACATACTTGAAAAAGGTTTATGAGAGATAGAAAAGCATTAAATGAAAGAGCAAACACATAAGTTGGTGAAGTAACCAATGCAATATAATTTATACAAGTAGATACGTCGTATATATTTGGTTATAAGTAATATAAAATACGTTTTATCGTCAAATGCAGCCATTGGCTTTTCATTATGAAAAAATTGTACGACCGTTATAATATACAAACAAATTGAGTACCTCGTATATTACGCTGAGAAGTTGATTATTAAATCGATCTAATCAATTGTGAACGTATACATATTTTCTGCTCTCGTCTTTTCAAAATTATCGACTCGTTTAATAATAAATGCCCCTATTGTTCAACATTATTATCTTTGATTTATTAAATGTACGTGACCGAAAGAGAGATAAAATCATATTAATTAGTAACGGCTTGTAGCTTAATATTATGGGAATGTTGCAAACGTATTTTGATATAATATCAAAATAATATAATAAAAATAAACGAAAAATTAAACATAAGAACATATACTATTCATTATCGATAAAATCGTACAATTTATTGTTAGTACATTTCAAAATTACTTACTAATAAAATTTTTCTTTTGTTTTTTTAAAGAAAGGATCTCAATAATTTTTTTCCTTGATGTTTGTGTAATTGTTGAAGAAATAATAACACTGTATGATGGACAGTTCCACATTATGCTAATGGCTCGCATTTCGCTACGATATGCATACGTTGTTTCTTGTCGAGAAAGTTTTGAATAAAGATAATTATTTAAATTTTGTATTTCTCGAAAAATTATTGTTATTTCTTGAGTGACCAACTATAATAAATAAGTATTTGTGTCGAATAATGAAACATTCAAGATTTGTATTTTGGCTCATAAATTTCTCAAGACTGCTAAAACCAAACGATATTCTTTTTATACACACAATAACAAGAATATTATTAAAATTTATATATAACTTAAATTTCAAATAATTATTTCTTTAATGTTTAAGCTGTGTCTCGTATTTTTATTCTTCTCGTATTATCTTCTCGGTTTGCTTTTCTTTCATCAGTATTCTTTTCTAAAATTGATAATTTCGGTATTTCATAGAACGTCTAAAAGAATTACTTTTATAATTAAATAAGTTTTTATTTCTTAAAATGTGGAATTATCTATCGCTAGACTTTTTTATATGAAATATTAAATTCACAAGCTATATAGTTATTAGAATATTTAATATTAAAATCATTTATTTTTACTTTTTACATTAATAACTTCAACGCTAAGAAAATAATATAAAATTCGATGAATATTATATCGCACATTATGAAGTTCGCTACGCTACTCTAATTACAATGTCTAAAATTAAAAAAAAAAAAAGAAAAGTTAACAAATTATTAGAGCTACTCGTATTTATATCTCAAATACTTTGAAGTCGATGAAAAATTTATACACATTTCCGATATTTAAATTCTATAAAAAAAATGGCTACCTTGGTGCGTTAAGATTATGATCTACCATTTCCTTCAGGCAGAGAAATTTCGTTTGAAATACAGCCACATTCATTTTTCCTTTTTCTTCGTCTCTGAGAACGCAACGTATAGTTGAGAAATAACAACCGAAGATAAAATGAAAGAGAGAGAGAGAGAGAGATCGTAGCAATGGTTTACCTATTCGATTTCTTGGCACAGAAAAGATATTCCAAGCGTTTTATCCAATTTCACTGAATTATAATGGTGGCAACTTGACGATTTGGTGGTATATGTTAATTGATTGCTTGCATTTAAATTCCGTACTAACTACTTAACTTGAACGGTTGTAATTTAACAATTGAAACAAATCCAGTTGGTAGATTAATAGTAACGATTTGTTATTTTTCAAGATAAACATTTTATCTAGCTATTTGTCAAGATAATTGTAGATGATAATAAACTAACAAAAACATGTTAAATGTAAGTAGTTAATCTATTGGTTATAATGCGTCCATCGTTATAATAGCTGAGACCGTTATGATATCCAATATGATACGCTTCATTAACCTGATGATTAAATTTAATTTTCAATAAACTTCATGAAATTTTGAAATTAATTATTATTATATTCACATTTATCGAAATAAAATTGATATTAAATAGGATTTATTTTGTCTGTAAATTCACATAATCAAATTGATAACAATGACAACAATTTCTATCATCATATATTATTATTCTTATTAAATAATTATTATTGATCGTTATTATTTATCCTTTTCAATATACTAAACAATGGATATACGCGTAAGTATCATTTACGAAAAAATAATCAAAAGGAAGGATATGAAAGAAAAAAAAACTCTTATTATAAATATTAATATTGAATATTTTTGTATAAAATTTTCTTACAAAATCAAAAAACACGTTGTGAGAATTATATTTAATATTACGATTTATATTTTTGTTTTGTTTTTAGACAGCAGGAGTTCCACGAGCTTGGGCGACACATGGAGGTGAAGACGTGCCAGTGTTTGCGATTGGTCCACTTGCGAGCATCCTCTTCTCAGGCAGCATTGACCAAAGTTACATACCACACGCGATTTCGTACGCTGCCTGCTTAGCCCATCAGGCAAGTCGTTGTTCTCGAGACGATAATAACAGTATCGGTAGCAACGACACGATGAATGTACCGATAAGCTGTCCTTCGGCGGAACCGAACAGTGCAGCGATATCGAGCGACGTGATGAACGATCAGGCACGAAATCCTAGCACGAAATCCATCGCTTCCCGACCACCTAGCAAACCCCGACAACCCCTCGACGATCTTCTCTTTGCTCTCCTCTTACCCTGCCTCGTTGTAAACCTCCAACGAGTTTTCCACCTACCCCTTTCTATCGACTAACCTGTTTCCTACTAGTATTCGCTTTACTCACCCTTCTATCACCACTACCATCACCACCACTACCATCACCACCACTACCACCATCACCACTACCACCATCACTCTATCATCCTACTTGCTTGCCTGCCTGCCTGCCTGCCTGCCTGCCTGCCTACTTGCCTGTTGGCTCTCTTTCAACCCTAACAGGCTTTCATGTCCCATCGGATGAACAAGAGCAGCCTCGATCTAGCCTGCGTATAATCTCCTTTGATCGTGCCCATTCCAAGAGACACTACCTACTGACCACGAGAGCGTGACTCTTCAAGGGGTGAAAGCCTGATAAAAGGGAGAAAACTTGATAAATAACGAATCGAGTTCGTCGAACCCTAATCTCCGCTTATTTCTTACATTACGATATTCATTTTATTCGGCTGGAAATATGGCTCGATCATGGGGAAAACGATGACGCTGATGTATTATAACATTTCATGGTTTCGTTTTAGGACAAATTCTATTTAAATAGAATTCATTATCTCATTCGAGAGAGATGAGATAATATGTTGTGTATAATAATATTAATAATAGAAAGATAAGGAATATGAGTTGGACTTGTTGGGAATGTTTGTTCGTTATTATTATAAAAAAAAAAGAAAAAAAAGAAAAGGAATTTAATTGAAGAGTCATTTGTGTATTATGTGCGTTCAGCTCTGGATAGAATTTCATAGATCGAGCTTTCATCTGATAAGTATTATTAACCCTTAAATACATATGTGGTAGCAGAATTATCATATATATTAATATTTAATATAACTTATCACGCGCGCAATTTAACATATCTAATTGTATATGTAAAACAATTTAGTTTTCTCGTTAAATTTCGTCAAAATAAACTATGATAATATACAATATATCAATTATTTTCATTTTAATAATTATTTAATAACTCTAATAATAATATTACGTTCATTTAAAATATCAACATAATTAAGTAATGCATTAAAGGGTTAAAATAAATTTTGTCAACTTGTAGTCTTCGCATATGACATGGAAATAAAAAAAGAAAATGATCTCGAGAGATCTCTGTCCAGAGTTATAATACAATAAAAGAACAAGTAATATAATCACGATCGGATAATCTTCGTGATTAGATGTATCTTTTTAACTTCGAAGGACAACGACAACCTACGAAGAGTAACTATGTAAAGAAAGTTTAAGTAGTACTCAATATATAAATCGAAAAAAAGAAATTAAAGAAAAATAAAACAGGGTCGAGTGAAAAAGAGAAGAAAAAGAAGAAGAAGAAGAAGAAGAAAAAGATGATTGGTACGAAATGAAACTGGTAAAAATAATGAAAACAAGTCTATTGAATTATTGACGTTCCGTTAAAAGCCGCTTCACCGAACACTCAAAATTAAATTTATGAGCATCCAGGTTCGTCAGAAGCATTAAATGAGTGATCATTAACGTTCACCGAGTTTTTTTTTCTACTTGTTTCTTTTCAATATTTATTGATGTTACGATACACGATCGAGTTACCTCATTAACATGAGCTTGAAACTTTCGATACAAATTTTACCTATGTTTCTATATATAATATAACAAATATATTATATATATATATATATATATATATATATTATACATACTCTCTACGCATGTAATCATTCCTTTTTGACTTCGTTAACTACCATGCTTTTACTTTGACAAGCCTATAGCAAAGAATTCTTTTGCTATTACTTCTTTTGCTTTTTTTAAGAGGTGCTCTGATCAAGTGACTCAAAAAGAAAGTATTTTTTGAAGTTTCTTTTCGATGAGTTATAGTTTAGAATTTTTATGTTCTTCGTTATTTACACTTTTAAATAATATAAAATAATTTATTTATTATTAATTCATTAAAATCTATTTACTTTTAGTATAAAAAATATTTATCAAAACTTTTCATAGTTAATGCCGAGGAATTACTAGCAATGACTGATTTCCTTCTTTGACGGTAACATATATATATATAATTTGTGTTACTTTATTTAGATGTTTTATATTTTTTTAGAATTACTAATCATGTACCTATTACTATCATTCATACAAAAATTTACATTACACTTGCATTATATTCTTTAAAGTAGGTACAATCAATATATGCAAAAACAAATTATCAAATTTTTTCAAAATTGTTGACTTGAATGATCCCTTTAAATAGGAATGTATGAAATGACGTAACTCGAACGTTCGTTTACTTTTTTAATAGCAACGAGACTACTCGCTACGAATTAGAAAAGTAAATAAAAAAGAAATCGGAGAAAGATCAAAATGAAAAAACCAGATCTCGGGGAATAAGAATCGAAGCTTTATCTCATACGGGATTCGATTATGTAGGAACGATATTCGTAATCCCAATGGGCAATGTTTATGCTTAAAAATTCAAAATGCATTAGATGTGAGATACGAAAAGCCGATAATGCGCAGAATCTGCCACCATGCTGCTGTCTTATCTTATCCCTGGAAACTGAAATTCCGAGGCACGAATCCAACGGAAGTAAGAGTGAGGGAAAAGGAATGAAGGAGTTTGGGGTTTCTTTGATCGAACGTTAGATTCCGTGCGATATCATTGCCGAATAATTTATAGAAAAAGCAGGAAACGGCGCACGGGAAATTGCAAGAAAGTAAAAATAAAAAATATTTTTCTTGGCTTAATAGAAGAAATAAGTGGACAAAATTTCTCACAAATTTTTTACTCGCGATTTCTTCTTCTTCTTCTTCTTCTTCTGTTTTTTTTTTTTTTTTTGTTTTTTTTTTTTTTTTTTGGTTATTTTCTTTCTCTTTTTATTTCCTCTCTCTCTCTCTAATTCATTATCACACGATCTCATCGTAAGGAATTATAACACTATCATAAACGTTAAATGTGTACGCGGTTATTTGCATGAATAATTATGTAAAAATTGTCGACCAACATTAAACGAGTTTTAAATGATTAATCCTTTAATCCGCGAGATTAGTTATAAATAACGAGTTAAGTGTACAATAATTAGAAAGAAAGAGTAAGAAAAGCTTTCGATGATCTATTTGCCAGGCTGTCAGAGTCGAGAATTTAGACAAAAAAAAAAACAACCACATTTATTTGTCACCGCGAATATTTCGATTATTATCTAACGTAAAAAAAAAAAAAAAAAAAAAGGGAAAAGAAATAAAGGAAAATAAGTTAACATTGCAAATTTATAGGAATACAGGTCAAATCTAGTCCGAATTCAGGAATCCTTGTTATTTCTCTTAGCGAAGCGAAATTATTCAGACATGTTAGCTAAAAAAAGAATCCTAAAAAAGTTAACCCTTTGTCGTGGTTTTCGCGATTGTTACGTTGGGAATGAAAGTTCACGTACGGCAGAAAGAACAATGAAAAAAAACACACAACAAGAATGAAAATACTTGCTTGACTACTTTGACAAAAGTTCATTAACACGTTCTTTATTTCGATGTGTCATTTACCTATATGCCTCGTAATTAACTTTTCTTTTCATAACTTCTATTATTTTACGCCATTTTGTGAAACGGATTATTTGAAAAGAAAAAATAATAAAGATTACTCTCATTGTACTTCGTACGGGGAATTAGACTCATACAGAAACTTAGCGAGTCGTAATCGTATCATGAGAACGAAAATCATTATCTTGTTGTTTATACGAGTGTGTGCTCATTTGCAAACGGGTTTTTCGTTCTTTTTCGAGGATTCTAAACAAAAAATGCAGAATATCGTGAAATATAACAAATACGCGCGTTTCCTGACAGAAAATATTTTGTAAACTATTTAATGTCGCAATATACAATTTACCAAAGGTAAAAAGCGGAATATAGAATATTTATTCGACGTGTACACCTGTCAAGAGATTTTTAAAAACACATGCGTTCGGTCTCTTTTTTTTTTAATCATTTCTCTCTCTTTCTCTCTCTCTCTGATTCACTTTATTTATTTTTCACAGAACACCACACTGTCGGAGGGGGAACCACCTCTGATTTTTGCTATCACTAATTTTATTTTTTTCCCCCCTTACGGAATATATTATTTTACACCGACACAACATTTTTGCGTAGAATATTAAACATGCTATGTTGAAAATTATCTTAATGGCCATTTTTATGAATATATGTGTAAATTGTTTTTATGCGTGAAATATCATCGCTCATCTTGCGTATACAATGAACGTATTTACGCGTACGGTTTTATGTGTATATATGTATGTGTAAGATTTATGAAATTACTGGCTAACAATTAAACAATGTTACATTAACAATGATATTTCCACTATTCAAATTGCACGGTCATTTTTATATCCTTTGAAAATTTGTTATTCATTCCATTCTACGTACTAATACATATATGTACTGTATATATGGCATAGAATAATACGTATATACATACGTACTTGCATTACTCTCGAATGCTTCTCAGTTACGACGAAAGTTTGTACGCTTATCGGTAGCGTGTGCTCCATCAATGAGACTCGATTAACATTAAGCGAACGATTTTACGAGTGAAGTGAAATACGTTTACCCAAAACTTTCTTAAAATTCATTTAATTTACCGTCAAGAGTCCAAATGTTCTAGGTACTATAATACACATACGTACGTACACATACATACGTAAATACCGTTCTATGAAAGTTTACAGTACGATCGGAAAACGCATTTGAACATAATGTATTTTACATACTTTATACTAAACGATACGAATAGTGGCCTAGGGTAACGTTACTCTTTTGATGGATGTGTGTAATTGTGAAACCGATATCAAATTGCGGTTCATTTTCACAGTTATATTACTCGTTATTGTAAACTTTACTCGTCCTTAATCAAAGACGATAAAGTTGCGAGACCAAAAATTTACGAAACGGGAATTACGAACTACGCCGATTACTATACATATATATAATATATATTTCTGTAAATAAATAAATTAAAGTAAGAATTATAAAAGAATGCAATCTTCACCGATAGACATCGTCTGTAAGCTATTGTTTCGTAACAAATGAAAATGATGACAAAAATTTTGATTAATTATTCCCTCGTATCCTCTTCAAAACAGATCACATACGTTTAAAATGGATAAAATTAATTGTACGACAGTTTCAATAAATTTTGACATATTTCGTTTTTTACATTCTTTCAATGTAAAATAATATTTCGAAAATATGTTCCATAATTATTATATTGAAACTCAAACTATTCGCGTACTTTTAAAAGCTGTTATCGAATTATCTACGGTCGTTTGCAAATGACTGTAAAACTTTAAACGCATTTTTTCCCCCCGAAACATTTTTCCAACTGGTTAGACATATATTTGTAAATTCGTTTCATTTATAAAATGTTTTAAACAATTAATAATTTTCTCTTTTAATTTAGTCGCAATATTATTATCAAACGTTACATAGTCGCGTTTGAAAAAAAAACGAACGAACGAACCATTTTTTCGCAATACCTTTTATGAAAATAAAATTTCCCTTAATGTAGTTTAAAATGATGACGTAGAAATTCTCGTTCGATTAAAAGCCATTATTAATTTGTAGTATCGCGGAAAACATATATACATATATAGTTATTTGTTGGCTTCGTCAGAATAATTTTTTTATCATTTAAAAAAATATTCCTTAATAAAATATATATATATATATATATATATTAATAAATGTTAAAATAAAATTTGTGCTTAAATGTACAAACAAAGTGTATCAAACTAATATAATTGAAACTATTTCATAAAGAAAATGATCTACACGGAAACTACCTACATGAATATGTATATATAAATAGATTTCATGGAATAAGATAGAAACACTCTTCACATAATTCGTTCTCAAGTTTTAGTTGAAGATGGCTTTTCTACTCGGCAAGGAGACTTGCTTCTTCCGGTACAAAGTTATATTCCAGAAGCAGCAAGTAATTTGGGTTATCGCACAGTCGATAAACGATGAGGACAGTCTCGAAAGTTGCCATAGCTGTTTAGCGCTATTACGAACTGTCGTACCCCCTTGAAAGGTAGCAATTGAAGATGAAACGATTTAAAGCTCGTCCGAAATTCAAGCTTTGGATTTCAAGATTTTCTGCTTATAACAGGAACTGACTGTCTGGGATACAAATTTCAATGATTTATACACCTTTCTCATATGCAACTTAATTCCTATTACCGATCAATCTTTTTACATAATACTATACTCTATAGGTAAGAGATTAATACAAAATAAATATTATAATTATAATTGTAACTAATATAAAAGTGGTGTTATTTATTACATTTTAATTTATACGGA